AGCAAGAATGCCATTGATTCGTCGCTCGCACATGCTAAGAAGCCAATTGACACCTGCTTCTTGATATTCTCGCAGATAAAGTCGTGAAGTCAACAAATATGGTCGTTTGTATCCAGTTCTTTTTGCTGCCGTTGCACTCAGAGCCTCATCACAAGTTACTGTATCTAATTCCATTTGTTCAAGCTTGCGACTTTTGTCTTCGTCTGATGCTATTGCGTATCGATCTTTCGGCTCCTCTATCGTCGTCTCAGCCTCGTCTGGCTGTGACCTCACCAACTCTGCTTCCTGTAATATTGAAGCTTTTTCTACAAAATTATCCTCTCCTGCAATCGTCATCTCATCATCAGACCTCAAATCATCAGCCTTTAAAGTATCATCAGCCTGTTCTTCTGCTTCACGTTCAGACAGCATAACCCGACTATCTCCAGTCTCGTCGCTATCACTTCCGTCCTCCTCTCCTGCACTATCAGCGTGCATGTATCGAGCACGCAATTCTTCAATCGACAACTCATTGTCTTCTTGCAAAGCAGCCACTTCAGCCGCTGCTTGTCTCTTTGACACTGGTCCATTCCTTTCTTCTTCTAAAGCAATCGTCGTCTCATCATCTTCTTCCTCCTCTATCAATTCGAAAGCTTCATCTTCACTACTATCATTTTCTTCCTCTATATTCCTATGCTGTAGAACAGCATACCTCGCCTGAAGTTCTTCAATCGGCAAAAGTCCTTCCTCTTCTAACAATGCAATTTCCATCACTGCCTCTTTTCTAGATATCGGTCCTTTTCGTTTCTCTTCAGCTGCAATAGTCGTCTCATCATCTTCTTCATCAACAGGTTCAAAGTCGCCATCGTCACTACTGTCACTATAATTTTCCACTCTTTCTTTATTTGCTTTACCATTGCCTCCCACGGATTCGTCCACTTTATCTTTTTCGACAATTGCTTGCGTTTCTTGAAAACTAGCAGCCAAAGCCGTTGCATACTTCTCTGTCTGCTCAACAAGTTGCGTCAAGTGTTTTTGCATATGTCTTTGTCTTAATTCATCAGCCTGGAGTTTTACTTTGTAGGCAATAATCTTGTCAATCTTAGTCCAAAACTTCTTCACATCTCGACCTACTCGAGCAGCAAGTCGTCGTCTTGCCGTCTCCTCGCTCTTCTTCTGTCGAGCCAACCGCTGTTCCTGTCGATTAACATGCGACACAAGTGTCTGACTCAGCATTTTTGCATTGCGAATGCGCCACTTGCGCTCCTGTGCAAAATCTGCAGCCATCCACTCCATCTCTTGAAGCAAGAAATCTCGATGACACCGAACTAAACGTCGACCTCCAGCATCACAATCTGGCTCTGGTTCTTTATGCATCGTCTTTCCTAATGTCAACGTCTGAATTTTAGTCTCTAATGCTCGTTTTCGCTCCAAAAGTGCGACTTCAAGCGCAGTGCGCTGCCGGTGAACAGTGGAAAGATGCTCATTTTGAGATGATAAAGGATTTTGACAGGAAATTTGAGCTTCCTGCGTCTGGTCCACATGCTTATCTGCACTTTGCGCGGCGTCAGAATTTCGAGACGATGCGCGGCGCCGTGCCTGTTTAAGTCGCGCGTTCGCCATAGCCGACGACCCTCACGTTACCTAGTGTGGAATGGAATTTGGGGTCGAAAACTTTTTCGAAATGTCTAAAAAGAAGAATTTTGAAAAAATCAAAAGAGAAGTCATGTGGTGCACACGATCGGTCAGTAGCTGTCAGTCATGTTTGTCGAGTGAGTATCATGGTGGAAGATTGCAGACGTTGATGCGAAATTTTTTGATGCCGTTAGTCCAGAACTAAGAGGCCGGTTGACTATGATTCTGACATCTTATGCGAATGAAAATGCTACCGTAGTGCGTTGATTTGATTGAATATATCTGAAGCATATCGTTAAAGTTATAGTTCTGAAGTGGGCGTAAAATACGCAGTTGGTAGCTGCAACGATGGCCGAGCAGGTAAATAAAGCAAAGCGTTCGAGCATCGCAAACGTGTGCACATTGCTCGCGCGAGTAACTACACCTAGCTTGAATGTCAATTTTATCATAATGACCAGGCAAAAAGGACTAACCGCTCAACCACAATATATACGGTTGTTGGTTTGTAACTTGATAAATTACCATACCGACAATCTTTATCCTGGACAGGTGGCTTTGCCCGCTCGATCTGGATGAGAAGCCCATCCATCGTATAGACCACAGAATACGGGACGTACTTGCAAATATTCCGGGATATTGATCGTAAAGCTCAATCCTTTCATGACTACGACAGCAAACGGTCTTATGTTGTGGGGTCGCAACTTAGTCATATAGGCTGTAGGCACAACATTCGTGGATGTATCGTCCGCTTTCAATATAAAATTTTCATCCACCACATATTTAATCATGTCCCGCCGGCATCTGGTATTCGCATGTTGGTTCGATATCATTGCTTACGCGGCATATGCAGCTCAATCTCATTGAGATATACTGTGTTTTTCTGTGAAGCTTAATCATGCTATACTTATCTGAACCAGTGACAGCCCCACCACATAAAGACCGAAGTTATTTTGTGGCGCTGCCCGGAATATTTATATACAAAGGGGTAATGTCTGAGACGTGTACAGAATCCATTCTTCAGCGCAAACTTGGTGTGTGTGGGATTTTGCTACAGCGCAGACATGATGTGTGTGGGATTTAGCACCGCGGTCTGTCTGCGCGAGTGTCATGGAGATTATCATCCACATCGCAATTAATGCGATTTGTCTGATCATCTGTCTATGAGTGGACATACCCAAACTGGTATAAAAAATTGCGCGAACTTCGTTAAGATTCTGCTGTGATGCACAGATCTCAACCCCCACGAGCAAGTCATGTTGTCAGAAATTGTTGAAGAACGGCTTGGCTATATTGGCTGACAGCAGCGCAGTAAACCATCTTGTTCAGACGGCCCACACTGGCCACAACGCCGATTTAATTTGGCGCGTTTTTAAAGGACATGAAAACCATTCTAATGATGTGATACCTGCTGCCGTATTTGGTAGGCTGAAAAAGCGCCGACACACTTGGCGAAGAATCAACATTGATACCTATTCAATGCACATTTGTCAGAGATTACACACTTATATAGAGCTCTTAAGCACACATGTATCTTTTCTCTTCGAGGCGTATATCCTACAATTGATATCTTGGTTACAAGCCAATATATTGTGAGCATCAAGTAGGTCCGTGCTGTAGTACGGAGAGCGTTACGAGGAGAAATAGCGATACATACATATAACTGAGTGTTGATCATCAGCGACATCTTGAAATCGTCAAGATTTTTATACATTGTCCTAAATTAATACCACTATATCCTTTATTTGTAATTAATTTTTGAGTTTGAATCATGAAGGAATATATAGAAATCGTAAGAGCAGAGTTTGAACCTACACCAGCAACGCAACATATGCTGCGTTTGACTTGTACGCTGCACGGATTGCCTTATCAATTGGCAACACCACCATCCTGACATGCACCAATCATAGTCGGGTGATGCAAAAGTGCTTCACTACCGCACTATGCCGACCAACTTTATGCTCTATTTTAGAGGTATTATTATGTGCATCATGCCACTTTATGTCAGAGAATTGGTGACGGCGTCGCTGTGTGCAACGACGCGCTATGGAATACAGCTTAGCAGTGTATATTTGATCTGACAAGGGTGGACTTCGTTACAATAAGCTTTTTGTCGTGAATTGGGTCGCTCTTCTCTACTGCTCTGAGCTGGTGAAACTCAAACGCGATTCATTTATCATGTCATGTCGGCATCTACTTGGAGTAAAGTAAAGGCCATGGTATAGGCTGAATCGTTATAGACGTTATGAAATTACCGCTCCGGTTAAAATAAAGGCACGCATGAGACCTTTTACAGTCTTAAAACAGCCCCATATTCCGCACCACACCACCATTAGAAATCTTTTGAAGAGATTGGTAAGGTATTATAGGGTACTTTTACAATGACGTACGTACACATCACCCTTCCGTATGATGGTACAAATAAAATATTGTTCAATAGTACGGCTTTTTATCTTGCTGTAAATATGCAGATGTGAT